AGGTCTGGGTGTCCCCATCCAGGTCTGAGTGTTCCCATCCAGGATTGGGTGTCCCCATGGAGTGGCAGATCCCCCCCCAGGCCTAGGAGTCCCCATAGGGTTACAGGACGCCCCTGTCCTCATGCTGACCCCCCACCTGTCCCCCCACAGAGATCCTGAAGGGAGGAGTACGCATTGAGAGGAATCTCCAGCTGTGTTTCCAGGAGACAATCCTCTGGAGTGACATCTTCCACCGGCACAATGAGTTCCGTGGCGAGATCCAGGTGGACAGCACCCGCAACCGCAGCTGTAAGCACAGCAGGGGTTGGGGCACCCAGGGAGGGGAGCTGGGCACTGCCAGTCCCCCGTGGCATTGTCTGCTCATGCTTCACCCCCTGCAGGTCCCAACTGCCAGGCGCTGTGTGCCAACGGGCACTGCTGGGGTGAGGGGCCACAGGACTGCCAGACGTGTGAGTGCTCTGAGCCCCCCTAGGCACCCCCAAAGCCTCTGCCCCATGGGCTCCTTCAAAATCCTTGGGAACACTTCTCCTTCCCTCTGCATGTCCCTGCTCCACTGACCTCTACTTGCCCCCCAAATCCCTGCTCTAGAGACCCCTGGACCTTCTACTTGCCCCTAAATCCCTGCCCCAAAGACCCCTAAAATCCCTGCCCTGGTGGCCTCAGCTTACACCCCAAAATCCCTGTCCCACTGACTCCTATTTGGCACCCAAATCACTGCCTCAGAGACACCCTGAAACATCCCCTTGCACCCCCCAAATCCCTGTCCTATTGATCCCTACATGGCACCCAAATCCCTGCCCCAGAGACACCCTGAACCTTCCACTTACACCCCCCAAATCTCTGTCCCATTAACCCCTACATGGCACCCAAATCCCTACCCAAGACCCCTATAATTCCTGCCCTGGTACCCTCCACTTACACCCCAAATCCCTGCCCTGGGCATCCCCACTTGCCCCCTGCCCCCAAATCCCCACCATAAGGACCCCCCCCAGATTCTTGTCCTGGAAACCCACCATCCCCTCATCCTGGGGACCCCCACATCACCTGGAGGGGGGATCCCTGTCCCTAGCACATCCCTTTCTGTCCCACACAGTGACCAACAGCATCTGCCACGGCTGCCCACCCTGCAAAGGCACGAAGCCCACAGATTGCTGCCATGAGCAGTGTGCCGCCGGCTGCACCGGCCCCAAGCACTCTGACTGCCTGGTGAGCGTGGGCTGGGGGCTCTGGGGGTCCTGGGAGGGTACTGGGGGCTCACACCAGCTGTTCCCCCACCCCAGGCATGCCTGAACGTCAACCGCAGTGGGATCTGTGAGCTGCACTGTCCTCCCCTCATCATCTACAACTCGGATGCCTTCGAGTCGATGCCCAACCCCGAAGGGCGCTACAGCTTCGGTGCCAGCTGTGTCAGCCAGTGTCCCTGTGAGTGGCACACCTCGGGGGGATGGGGGGCTGAGCCAGCATGGTCCTGACCCCCCTGTCTGTCCCCCCAGACAACTACCTTGCCACGGAGGTGGGATCCTGCACCCTCCTGTGCCCCCAGAACAGCCAGGAGGTCACGGTCAATAATGTCCAGAAGTGTGAGAAGTGCAGTAAGCCCTGCCCAGAGGGTGAGCAGCACATCCTGGGGTCTGGGGGAGTCTGGAGACTCTAGAGGGGAGGGTGAGCAACCCCCCAGGGTCTGGGGGAGTCTGGAGACTTTAGAGGGGAGGGGGAGTGTGAGCACCCCCCCAGGGTGGGTGGGGGGTTCTGGGAACCTCTGGGAAGTGGGTGAGCAGCCCCACAGTGTCTGGGGGGCTATGGGGACCCCAGGGGTGGATGAGTAACCACCCCAGTGTGGCTCTGGGGACCCTAGGGAAGTGGGTGAGCAGCCCCACAGTGTCTGGGGGGGCTCTGGGGACCCCAGGGGGGTGGGTGAGCAGTACCCCAGTGTGGCTCTGGGGACCCCAGGGAAGCGGGTGA